AAAAGGTGAAGGGAGTGAGGGGGAGACTGGGATTGGACTGGGTGGGATATTAAAAGGTGCATCAGAGTGTAGTTGAGGGATAGTGACTAGTTGGGATCCAATGAGGCAAATCCCCTGTTTCTCCATGGGCTGTTTTGGATATCGAGCCCTCATAGTTTGTACATGTCTGTGAACGCATTGTAAACACATTTATTTTCCAACTTTGCAAATGACACAAATGTGAGATCAAAGAACTTTTTTTTTTTTTTTTGGCCCTTTTTGGAAATGGTACTCTAGCTGCTGGGGTTTATAAAGTATTTTACTGAGTCGGTTGTATCTGGAATGAGCCGGATACTGGCTCCCAGTGACAGGTTTATCCTGGGATTGGTACAGATTCCTTCAGGAATATCCCTTACTGGCTGACTTGTTCTATTGGTGACTGTTGGCACATCCACGATACAGCTCAAGTCTAAACTCCCTCAAGTCACCCCTCACCCCTCACCCCCCACCCCCCTCCGCTGTACTCGCCGACTCCTCCCCCCAACCTTTTAAATTTCTCCCCCATTCTTTTCCCATCTGGACCCCCCCCCCCCTGTCTCTGTCACCCCCCACACCCCTTCCCTATCCCTGTCACCTCCCTCCGGCCCCCTACACCCCCTCCCTATTTCTGTCACCCCCTCCAGCTCCTCTGCCCCCCTCCCTATCCCTGTCACCTCCCTCCAGCCCCCTACACCTCGTGTCTGCTCGCTGAGGCCTGGCCAGGGTCAGGCAGGGCATGTGGATCATGAGCCCTGGTGTGTACCCAGTTACTCCCTCCCCTCTCTCTATACATTGCCCTGTGGCACCTTGCCCTTGCCCTCTGCCCCTCTCTGCCTGAAATCCTTTTGAGTGAATTGCAGTGGGACTGGATTAATTTGTCAAGGTGACTGTGACATTTTGCATAGCTTTGGGATTTTTGCATAGCTTTGGGACTTTTGTCTCCAACTTGAAACTGAAAGCATTTTATAATAGTCACATCCTGACATTCCTGCAGTGGTGGGGGTGAGTTTTTTGGCGTGCCTGGGACTGTTTGCTCTCCTGAGCTCTCATTAAATCCAACCTTGCAGATATAAATGCGGTGGCAGTTCGGAGTTAAATCCCACCACATTTTCTACCCCCCCCACCCCCACCCCCCAGGGTTTGATCCTGCAGAGAAATGGGGCATTGGGTTCGTCACTGGTTTTACAGGGTGTGTTTGTAGCCCTCTGATGGTGTAGATATGGGGCACGGATGTATGGAACCCGCCAGCCTGTGCTTGAGAGGGGGGGGGTGGGGGGAGGCCTGTCCCCCAGTGAAGCCCCTGCGTGTGCAGGGTTGGCGCATGACCAGGAGGAAAGGGTTGAAGCAGACAGGCTGGTAAACGTTGCCCCCTCCAACTCCTTTCCCATTTCGGAGCTTGTAGATGCTGAGCCTTGACACACAGAGAGAGGCTTGTGACCATTTGGTCTGGCCCAGCCCTTGAACAATTCATTCATTGAAGCTTGTCTCGGGTGATGCCAATAGAAATTCTGTTGGCAATGTTTTATTTTTTTGTTAAGGCATCTGACAGTTGTTTGAAAGTGAAATGGCACACTTGGAATTCTGTGTGTGCGTGTCTATCTCGCCAACCCACACTGTACACCCACATGTTGTGGCATCTGTCACCCGCATTGGCATAGGCACAGAGACTCCTTTCCCTGCTGCTGTTGTTGGGGGTGGTGGGGGGGACCCCATTTTCCTTCCCTCTTGGCGCCTGGTGGGTGAGGGGTCTGCCTCTGGCCTCTTCATTCCGAGCTGAGGACGTGGGCTGGTGGCAGGAGTGTCCTCTGTGGCCCCTTTAAGTTGGGGAGGGGTGTGGAGGGAACAACGGTTGGCCGTTGCTAGTTTGGGAAGAGGATTGCATCAGCTGCGGGGCAATTGTATCCAAGACCTGGACGTATTTTCTATGTCTGCATCTCCCTCTGTGTGTGTGTGTGTGTGTCTCTCTCTCTCTCTGTGCCACTACCTGCCAGAAAAGCAGACCAAAGTCAACGCTGACGACAACGCATAACAGGTTATAGACCAGCTTGGGCCTTCCGTGTTTCTTTTTTAAATTCCCTCTTGTGTATTTGGCAGACAGAGCCCCAGTGTTGATGTGTCTGGTTACCAGGTGGGGAATGACGTAGATCTTAGTGTAGCTGAACAGGCAGAGGTACACACACTCTCTCTCACACCTTTTTTCCCTCTCTCAATCTGCCACATTGTGGGGGGGCATCTGTTTTGGGGCCCTCTTCATGGGGTAGGGGGGACATTTGCTGCCCCCCCCCGCCCTCCCTCATTGAGAAGGTTGGGGGTGAGCTGCCATCTTGAACCACCGCAACAGCACCCCTCCCCCACCCACCCCTGTTTGGTATAGGGACACCCCGCACAGTGGGGTTTGACCCAGAAAGAAAAGCCAATCTATTTCCAAGTCAGGATCGTGTCTGTGTGTGTGTGGTACTTGCAAGGGGCTGGTGTTCCCGTGTATCTGCTGCCCTTGCCCTTCTAGGGGTTTAAAAGTCATGGGTTTAGAGGGTGCTGTCCAAGGAGCCTTGTAGACGGTACACACTGCTGCGACTGAGCGTCGGTGGTGGGGCGAGTGGGTGCTTGTGGATGTGGTGCCAATCCAAGGCAGGAGGGGTGCTGCTTTGTCCCTGGACGATGTTGACCTTCTCGAGTGTTTGTTGGAGTTGCCCCCCCCATCCAGGGCAAGTGGGGGAGTGCGGTGGAGTCTTCCCTCACGCTCGGTCCTTGTCAATGGTGGGGTCCAGATGTCTCTGGCGCGCTCTCTCCGCCGTGTTGGGGACTCCCTGCTACCCCCCACCTCCATTCCGAGGCAGGAGATGGTTCGGGAGAGCGAGTTCGGAATGTATGCTCCCGCTTTGGCAGTTTCGTTTGAAACGAAGTGAGACAGCTGAGCCAAGCATCCCCATTGGCAACGGGTTTCATGATTTGGTTTTGAGGTTGGAGCTGGCCACAAGTCAAACAAAGAAAAAACACCCCTTTGAAAGCCAAGGCATCCATTTTGGATGAGACATGAAACAATAGGATCCCAGTGTGGTGTTTCTTCTTTTTTTTTTCAAAACATTTGTAAAATGGTTCCTCCTATGTTTTTAAGTGCTGTTCGGGCCTTCTCTGGGAGTGCGGGGAGGCCTGGAAACTTGCGCAGTGCTTTTTTTTTGTCTGTCTGTCTGTTTCTGAGACGAGAGCCACATGTTTCTTTTCCTTTTTAAAAAGGAAAAGATTGAAAGTAGGCCATTCAGCCCCTTTTTCCAGTCAGCTGCCCCCATTTCAATAGGATCTTCCAACCCGCTTCTTCCCCCCCCCCCCCCCCCCAAACCAATTCGGGAAAACATCCAATGTTCTGGCCCCAACTGCTTTCTGTGGCAGAGAATTCCACAGGATCCCTGCTCTCTCTGATTTTTTTTTTTTTTTTCGAAGACGATGTTTTCTCCTCCTCTCAGTCCCACTGTGACCCCCTGGTTGTGGACCCCCACCCCCAACCCCGTGTCATCAGGAACATCCCTTTTTCCCTTGTCCAATCCTGTTAGAATTTTACTGAGAAGCAGGAATAATGGGAAGGGAACAGACTGTCCTCTGAGGACCCGTATCGGGATGGCTGGGGTTGGGTGATGTTTCCAAGTCTCTGGAAAGCGTTGAATTCATCACTTCCAATCGTGCTGGATTGCCCAGTCTGCTTCAACAGAGCTGGGAGAGAGTGAGCTGCAGGATTGAGAGACGGGGTACAGAAATACAGAGCAGAGTTTCATCATTTGTCTCCCTCTCCTGCAGGGCTGGGCCAAAGACAGAGACTGAGGAAGGGGGTGTCTCGGAGGAGAATTCTAAAAGCCAGGGTCAAACGTCACTTGAGATACTGGGTGAGCTGGGAGGTGCCTGGTTTCTGCGTCTGAACAGTCTGATCTATCCATGTGTCGAGTTAGATAGTGAAAGAATGTCAGTAGTTTACAGCAGGATTGCAAGTCTCCAGTTTAGCACGGGCACCCTGTCTCCAACATTCCCCAGCCCTGGCTTTTGTACTCCTTCCCAAAGTCTGGATTCCGAAACTGGCTCGTGATGATCCAGTTCGGAGCGTCACTGAATAGTTCAGGAAGATCCTGCGCTAAACCTCCAGTCCTGGATGGAGCCCTGAAGCAGGCATGCTTCACATTAACAAAAGCAGTGGAAAGAGAGGGATTGGCGTCTGTGCAGCTTAAACACTATCCCACAAATAAAATCCCAAACACTCACAATCACACACAGTCTGTCTCTCTGGCTGTCTGTGTCTGTCTCTCGCTCTCTGTGTCTCTCGTCAGAAGGACAGATGGGAAAACTGGTGTCTGGTCTGTGTGTGTGAGAGAGAGACAGCATCCATCTCTCTCTGTCTGCAGGCTCTAGCTGTTTTCCCCACTCTCTGATACTCCTGGCACTTGCAGCTTTCTAACCCACTGTGGCTCAACCAATCTGAGGGCTATTGCCAGGCAGAATTTCCTTTTAACCTTGAACAGTCGGCAATACCACCCTAGGCGGGTGCAGTTGGATCTGGAGCTGGTATGAGGTCATGGTGTGTGTGGATCCGAAGCAGTGCAAGATAGTAGGAGCAGAATTAGGCCGTTTGGCCCATCCAGTGTGGAATCATGGCTGACATGTTCCTCAACCCCGTTCTTCTGCCTTCTCTCTGTAACCTATGATCCGCTTAACAATCAGGAACCTATCTACCTCTGTCTTAAATACACTCACTGACTTTGCCTCAGAGGGCTGTGGAGGCCATGAGTTCCACAAATTTTCCCCCCCCCCCCCCCCCCCAACGACTGAAGAAATTGTTCCTCATTCTCATTTCCATTTCCAAAGGGTCATCCCCTCACCTGGAGGCAGTGCTCTCGGGTCCTAGTCTCTCCTACTCGTGGAAATGTCTTCTCCACGCCCACTCTATCCAGGGCCTCCCGGTGTTGTATGCCTTTCAATCCTTCTGGACTCCAAGTACAGAGCCACAGTCCTCGACCTCATGACAAGTCCCTCATGCCCCTGAGGGTCCTTGTAAAACCTGCTGTGGACCCCCTTTCCCAGTCCGGCATATCTTTCCTTTAGGTACAGGCCCCAAAACTGCTGACGATATCCCAAGTGCAGTCTGACCAGAGCCTTGTACAGCCTCAGCGATACTCTGGGCAGGGGGGGTGGGGGTTGGCTTCAGTTGGAACTGGAGTTAGCGAAGGTGGCAGGAGAGTGGGGAGAATGGGTTGCGGGGCGAATGGTGGTAGTTTGGTTGCAGTTTTAAAACCGAGCTGCCTTGCAGCTGTTTTGAACCCTCCTTATCACTGGGCACTGGTGAGTTTAGTCACCCTGGGGCAGGGGAATTGTCAGAGGATTGAACAACCAGATAAGGCTGTGGCAAGGCCTTGTCCTGTTTCCACATCCCAACAAAACCACTCTCTCTCTCTCTCTCTCTCTCTCTCTCTCTCTCTCTCTCCCTCTCCCTCGATGTTAATTTTTAAAATGAGGATCTATTATTAAACATGTCCGAGCCAGTATCCGTTCCAAGCGAGAGGTTAAACAAAGCTCTTCTGGAATACCTAAGTTGAACATATGACTGGGCTCGGTGCAGCCTAGCAACCAATGGCCTGTGTTTGAGAACAGACGGATGTTGTGCCTCAGGAGAGAGGTGCCCACAGCTGGGAGCTGTGGGATCACACTGTGCACTGTCAGAGCAGGATAGGAGGGGTCCACACAGGGCACCTTGCGCCAGCAAGCTGGGGAGGTTAGACATCACCGCTATCCGTTACTCAGCACAGAGCAGGCTATTAGTACACTCAAACATCCCCCATGGATCAAACCTCTTCACTCCCACCTGACACCATTTACCTCCCTCCTCCCTCCTCCCTCCTCCCACCTCTTTTTTTTCCCCCCCCCCCCCCCCAATGCCCCTTCCTATCTCTGTCACCTCCTCCCAGCCCCTCCCACCCTTCCTATCTGTGTCACCCCCTCCCTATCCCTGTCACCTCC